GAGTTGCATGGGATATAAACCAGCACCAAATCTGCTCCCTGGAAATTGGATCAGAGCATTCCAATTAAAAAATTAAACCCTTTTGCCTTACAGCTCAAAGATAACAGGGCCAACAGAACCATGAAGAAGACCAAGACACACTGACTTCTCCTAGATAATTTTAAAAGGATATCTGGAGCCAGAAATTCAAGGTCAGGTGAGCACAACTGCACAAAAGTTAATTTATACATGCAATTATGCTTGTATATTGGGTATACCATTGTTATCTAACAGGCCATGAACAAGCACAAATACCTGATTTTGTGCATGAATATCAAGTACTAGTGCACATAGATTTATCCAAATATGTGCATGCAATTGTACACACTCAATCTTGAAAACCTGGCCACAGAGTAAATTTCAATTATTTTTCTGTCTTTCTCTACTCTATAATTTGGGACAAAAATAGCATCTTTGTTTCTGAGATGTTTATCTGCTCCGGCTGCTTATTTCCCATTTTAAGTTACAACTTCAATGGTGACCTCAGCTGTGGTGCAACATCAGTCATCTGCACAGCTAAGAGCGGATAAGGAATTCAGATGGGGAATAAATGAATTCAAAGAAGGAAAAGCAGGGAAATTCTTAAGAATCAAATAATTTGTTTTCATGCAAGAGTTCTTTGCAATAAAGAGGAACTAAATGAACATGCGATACACACAGTTGCTAGTAGAGAAAATTGTTTTCCATTACATGACAGCTTTTTAAAGGTGACCCACAAGTGGAATTAGAAATCCATATTAAGAAGTGTGCACTGAGTGCTCCAAATAAGGTGCAGGGCATTTAGCATGTAAAACAATTCATTTATTCCCATGATTTCCAATCCCTTTGGATTACCAGGTATCCCCTCTGAACAGTACCCCAGCATCGATTATATTTAAAGCAACACAGCACCCATGGAACTTCTGCCACCCTTTCCCAGAGCCAGTTTATAGTGATCACTCTAAGTGGGCTTCTCTTTGCAAACACATAATATCTTTCTAAAAGTTTAGGTCAAGATTTTGAAAAGTTACTAGTGGTTTTGGGTACACAACCTGAGACACCTGATTTTTAAGAAGTACTGAGCACCAACCCTCTGAAAATCAGGCCCTTTTAAAGTGTTTTAAAGTGTTATGAGGCACCCAAGGTCAGTAGGCACTTGAAAATCTTGGCCTTATTATTTATAGCCCATGAAGGGATACAAGTACTAATGTATACACTTTGATATCTACAATCAAAGTGGTATAGCAATGGTATAGCGTGATGCTGAGCATACCAGCCTGAGTTCGAAGGGGATTCTCTGGGACCTGAACTGGAAAGGCAGCAGCAGAACTGAACTGGCTGCAATCTGCTCAGCAGTGAGGCTCTTCCCAGTAACCAAAGAAACTGCCAAGCTATGCTTAAAATTAGACAAACTCACACCCAACCGTCTGCTAAAAGCAACATTTTCACCCGCAGAATTAAAATCTCATTTATTTTCAGATGAAGACAGGCAGCCCACATCTCCCTTTCTACAGGAGCCGTGGGAAACCTCGGCTGTCGGAGAGCTGATGGCTTTACATAGGATTTGAGCAGTGCTAGAAGAGACTGAGCCTACTGCATCCCTCTGCCCTTCTTTCGGAACTGCAACCCCTTGACAAGCAGCTAACACTCCCTCCTTGTTTTGTGCTGACAGGATTCCCACCGCCCATGTCAGAAGCTGAGCCAGCTCTTTTGTCTGCTGGCTTGTTCTACAATTATTTACTTGGCTGTCCAAAGCTGAATAAGTCTCTAAAAGTAGCCAGACATCAATGCTGGTATTCATCTTTCTACCGCCCTAGTATTAGGTCCCTTCCAGAGGATCTCAGTCTTATGCTATGAAGTCAAAAAAATTTCAGAAGACCCCATTTTAAAAAGAAAATCACTATCAAGAGAAGCAATACAAATGACTTTCCATTCCATAATTAATGGCAAAAACTAGCTAAATATAACCTACAAATATCATGAGATTGTCATAAAGTTTACCCCAAAAATCTGATCTAGCCTAAAATGGTCATATCCTGCTGGTGAATGTCCCTCCAGGCTCAACATCTGTACAGTATTAAAACAGAAGATAACATTTTCAAAATGCATATAAGTGACTTTTGTGCCTAAGTACCATTGACAGTCAATGGGAGTTAGGCACTTCTGAAAACTGTACCCATTATCTGCTACTTTGTTGTTCAGTTAAAAATACCACTGCTAAAATTTGTACACACTTTAAAAACATTTGGGCTCCACAACCTAAAAAAGTTATCCCTGCTTGCTGCAGTCACAGCATCATTTAATCAGCTCCTCTTCCCAATGTTGTGCCAACATCACTAATGATGCTGGTGCATAAACAAGCAAGCAAAACAAATCGGAGCATGAACTTACATCTTAAAAAATAGGGCATGGAGAAAGACATTTGTAAATGGTAGAGGATGAAATGATGACGTATTTAATATTCTGAAGCTTCTAAAAAGGCCAGCACAAATCATTTTAAAAGCTGCATGTTAGTTAAATAAAAAAACAGATACATGTGTTTTTAAAGTATTTTACCTCACCAGGAAAACAAAACAAAAAATCATTTAAATAGCGGAAGAAAAATGTCTGCCTGCTCTTTCTTGCATTCAGAAATCACCACACAAGCTACTTGCTACTGACTTGATCCTATTTCATTTGAAGCCAGTGGTAAAACTACCAGTACCTTAAGTGTGACTAGCATGAGACAGAACCTATCATCTTGCAGTTAAATTGTCACTCTCCTATATGGAGACTCCAACTGAGGGCACAAACAATCAACCTTTGATACTTACCCTACCCAAAGCGAGCATGATTCACCAGCAGTATTTTACACAACCATAGTGATTTTCATCTGTGTGTGTCAAAGTGCTTTACAAACATTGGGCCACATTCATGCATGCAGTAGAGATCCATGCAACACTACAGTCAGGAAGGCCACGAAGGTGGGGAGTAAAGCTAGTTGTAAACCCCCTTTTACACTTCCTGGATTCTAGAACAAACTTGGCAGGTCCAAAACTACATGAGGTTGCAACAGACCCTAAAGGGTCACATGGCAGCTGAGGACAGCTGAAGTACAACAGCAATGAGAGCTTGCAAGCATGTAAGCCAGGGTGGAGCTGTAACAATATCTTTATACCACCTGGGGAATCTTATGCCGGAGGTATTACCTGAGCACCAGAGCTGGCAAGTTGGTGGCCCTTATGGTTTGTCAGAGTGGCATAAAGGGGCTGCTATGGGGCTGTGAATCAAGCCTATTAACTTACAAAGCTCCATAATTTCTTGCAAGATACGAAAGTACTATACTGAAGCACAAAGAAAGTCACGAGGCACTGGCCAAGCCAGAAACAAAAACAGTCTTCTGAGTCAACATAGAAATACAAGCCTCTACCTCAACATGATCAGCAGCTACTACAAAGGAGCCTACAATTCCAGGTTTTCATTTTTTAAGGCCACTACAATATACCACCAAGGAGCCTTGCTGTGCTGTTAGCTCCCTGACTGCTATGTCATATCAAGAGACTGGAAAAAGGGAACTAGTCTTCCCTTCAATCACTATACTCCAGTTTAGAAAGCCCAGCAAGTTCTGAAGCAATTTCTCCAAAGACCTAGTCACCTGAATGACATACCCACCTAGTTTCCTGAGAACAGTCTGAATAACTCCTCACTCAAATTAGCCTCTCTTGAGCAACAAGCACTTTGGAGTATCAGCTGGCAGGCTGACAAATCCTACAGTTGTTTAGTTAGTGTGCTCACCAGCATGGAGAGTCAGGAATCCCATTTACCACTGACCTGGCAACTTTCACAGAATCCTGCCAAGTGCATCAACATGGAAGCTAGCGAATCAGGATATGAGCTTGATGCAGGAATTACTGAGTGATATTCCATGAGCTGTGTCATGTTATGACGGTCAAATAAGAATCTTTCCCCACTGAAAAAACCCATGATGGTGTAAAGCAAAGCCCTCTTGTCTCTGACCCACAGTATCTAGGGGACAGGCTTTGAACTGTCAGCGCTCATAGCAAACATTCAGAAGTCTATGATTTATCATAGGCCATCACTAAGGAGCTCCAATCTTCCCACTTATTCACAGGATTTCCAAGGGAGAAACTCTCTGTCTATAGCCAAAGAGACTTCCACAGCAGAGTTAATTCAACCCACCTTAACAGCACCTAATGGAACCCTTACCCAAGCTCACCCACACTATAGCTTGTAGCAAAGAGCAGCTAATCCAACCCCCACACCTAAACCTTAGAACCAATCTCAACCCATTGATGGGCTGTTCCTATACCTAACAGAGCTAATCTTAACTCTATAAAGCACCCTAGCACTACACTAAAGAAATGCCCATATATGATGAAGCACACAGTAAAGTGAAGAGCTCTTAGCTGTACTGGCATATAGCTTCAAGCACTGGTAATTATTGATTCAAACCCAATATTAACATCCTGCTGTAACTATTCAATAAGCAAGTCAGTCACTTTCCATCCACTCATGAAATACAAAATGGCTGTGCTGCTCAGATGATCAGGAATGGGATATGGACTTTCTCCCCACAAGGACACAGGTTCAAATTCTGGCCAACTTCATAGCAACTGGAAATCTTTACTACCTGAGGGCTCACGGATGGTCAATGTGAAATAAATTAAGTCAGTTACTAGCAGACAGGCTCCTATATCAAAATTAATCACAACAACTGGTACTAACTAGCCCCATGCTGACAGTCTCAGCAGAAAGGTGACAGAATGAATGAGCCACGAAGACCAAACTCCTTTTTCACCTCTAGCAGTGACCCTTGTTGATCAGGATTGACACATGTAGATAAGGGGCTTTAATTTACCTCTTCCATGTACAGTTAGAGAGCTGCACCCCCAGAGCTGTCAAATATAGCCCCTTTTACAAGTACTAAATTCACTTTTGAAAGAAAGAGCTTTTGTTCAGAGAGAAGAGATGTCAGAACTGACCTGCTTGAGCTGCTCATCCATTCTCCAGGTCTGCAGCCCAGATGGGGAACCAGAACATGATTGTTTAGTAGTGTCTTTACCCTGTTCGTCCTTTTCCTGCTGTCCCCGCTGAAGTTCCGGGGCTGGAAGAGGATTCGAAGTAGAAGCCACTCTTTGGTTGTGATGGGCAACTTTTTGAGAATGAAAATACTTCAAAGTAGAACAGGCATCTTTCCCAGTCATTTCAGTGTCCTCCTCCAGATCTCCATCTTCCAAACCCTCTTCTTCTTCATCCTCTTCTTCATCCTCTTCCGGCTCTGAGGTCACACTGCTGTGATCAAAAGCTCGGATGGCCCCAACTACAGGTGGAACTTTGGCCAAAGGACCAAGTGCTTGGCTGCCCGAAGCCCTGCCAGATGTGGCTGCTAGAACAGCCTGCTGTGCTGCCAGCTGCTGAGTATAAAGCAGCTGGGCTTCTCTCATCTGCCTCTGCTGTCTCTCTCTGGAATCCATCTGCAGAGGACCTTGCTGCTGTTGCTGCTGCTGCTTCTGCAGCTGCTCAACAACAGCCTCTAGCTTCATCCCGCAGTTAGCATGGCTGTGAAAAGACAGCTTTTCTATCCAGCAGGGCTCAAGCCCTGACCTTCAGAGATCAATAGAACCTAAAAGATAGATAAATATTTGTATGAATATAACACACTTTCATCTTCTTCCCTGTCAGAGGATAAGCAGGCTGCAAAGCCAGTCCTCTTTCCAGTCCAGGAGACCATGAAATAGTAAACCTAGAGTTTTGCAGCCTCAGGCTCAAACTTGCACTCCATTTTCAGTGTGTTTAATTGTATTTTCAAACTGAACACACGACAACATAACCTCAGTTTTACAAACTGCAAACTGCTTACCTGAACTGCTTTTACAAACTGCAAACTGTCCCCTGCCCTAAGAGCATATTCTTCACTGACCCCTCTCCCGCAAGTTTTACTAGTTACCTTTAAAGTATTTGATTTTAAAATTTAGATTTCAGTCTTACTCCATATACTATCTGAAGGAATTGCACATCATAATAATTTCACTAAGTGCATGCTCTTTAAATAAATGTATTTATAATCCTGTACCAAATACTATTGTCTTTGCAGGTTATTTCATGCCCTCATGATTTTAAAGAAGTTCCACATGCTCCCTGAGATCTTAGTAAAAACAGGGCTCTTTTAGCAGTTGTTACTCTTCTGAGTAATTTGGATGCCATGAAAGTAAAGATCATCCTACCCCCAAATAGCTAGTCACTGGGAAACCTTTACCCCACCTTCTCCACATACAACTCTGCCAATGCACCTAACATCCCAAGCTGGGACACACTCTGTTATTCTAATTAGAGGATGCACAGGGCTTTGTTAGCACTCCATTTTGATCTACAACATCCCTTGCTCTTCCAGTATTAGGCACCTCTTGAACAGAGACTAGCAGACCTGACTAGAACCAGGTATACAGTTGAGACATAATAGGCAAATCCTGTGAGGACAATTGTGCTCCTACTTTTCAAAGGCTAAAGGAGAATGTGCATTTCCAGGCATTATGACAGAACTCAGAAATGTAAATAGATCTAACTGCTAAGTAGCTGCCCTTCAAGACTTACCAGTAAATCAGAACACAGTCAATAAAGTACAAGAAACAAAGGAAAGGCAGCCAGCAAACAAACTAAGGAAATCCTCCTTCCACCCACATAACAGCACTGTGGTATGCAATCTAACCAACACCAGGTCCTTAAAAAGGAGGATAGTTTGCTAATGCTCTATGGTTAAACGCAAGAAAACACATTTCTGTAGGTAAGTCAAATACACTAATTGACGCAATTTCCACACAGTTCCAAAATAAGAGAAAAGACCTCAAATGTCCCTAGATTCTCCTTAAAGAGATTCAACAATATCTTCTGCAAACATAATACAATACAATTGATTTTAAATTGTGCAAGTTACAATACCAGAGACATTTTTCTCAGCAAATCATTTCCTGTATTAAGCAACTATTGTCATAAATAAAATCATTCCAATGACAGGTCTATCAGCATTCTTAACTATCATACTCCAATATATCCTTTAGCTTAAAAGTGAAGCAACACACAATTCAAATGTCAGTAACAATCATACATCATCTGGCATGCGATTAGGGCATCACACACTCCTCAGGCACAATACACAGCCTGGCATTGGTGTTATAATACATACACATCTCCCTTGTACAATAATAATGAACTGGAATGTGGATTCTAACATTAAACACAAACCAGATTGTGTATTACTGTGCCTAAGGCATGTGTATACAACTCCCACAACACATCTTATTGTGTAGCGCTGCACCTGAGGCATGTTAGGATGTCAACTATCATATCTCAGATGTAGCAATACACAACAGGGTGTGCAGTTAATACATGCCTCATGTGCAATACAATAAGAAGTGACTGGTATGTGATTAACTTCAGGTAAACACACCTCAGATGCAGAAACACAGCCTTGGTATGCGGTTCCAATGTGTCTCACACAGCTCTGATACAATAATGCATGAAAGGTTATACCAAGATTCATACATTTCTCCTGGATTAGACATGAATGTGAAACCCAAGGGCTCCAGGGGAGTTGGATTAGATGACCTCCTGAGGTCTCTTCCAACCCTAATCTTCTATGATTCCAGAACCAAAGATATAGTAACCACACCCTAATTAGGTATTAATGTGATTGTAAAAAGATAAAACACTCAGAAATGTTGACTAAGTAAATAAAGACACTTACAACAAAGAGTACAAGATCAGGATACATTTTTTTTTTTAAATTCTCCATCTGGGTTGCTATTACTACTTTAGATAATTAAAAATAGTTTTAACATCTGATTTTCTTTTCAGCATTAGTATTTGCTTAACTTTTTGAATTACAACCAACTCTGGTCAGTGAAACTACTCAGTTTAACTTTCACGTTCTCGTGTAGTAACCCAACCTCATGTGGATTTCCATCCTGGAAGAGCAGTTAAAGAAAAAGTCTTCCCATCTGAATTTTTAAACCTTCCTTCTTTGTTTTAACAAAACCTAATTATTGTAATTAAACCGCACTGGTAATGTGCTTTTGGCAGTTTTGGGTGGGGCTATAAAAAGGACATTTTGAAACAGAAAAAACGCTGAAAAGTATACAATTCAAGCTCCTCTGAAAAGAAATGAGAGGCTTTAGAAAGGAGTAGTAAACAAAACTGTGAACGCTCCCTATATTTTCAGGCAGGCTCCACTATGGAATGTTCCTGCTCCCCCAAGCTTTTATTATCCCCTCTATATCTAGTTCTCACACCAGGCCACTGTAACCTACTTCCCTAAACCAGCCCCCTAACTAATCGCTTTCACCCATAACCTGTCACCCAACCAACTCCTCCAACCATAGTCACGCTAACCAATCCCATACCCTGTCCCTCAACCAAACCCCTCTTCCCAGTAAGCAACCCCACACAAATCCCACTAACCTAGAGCCAGTCATTCCAACCAACCCGCTCCTCCTCAACACTCATAACCCCCTCCTCACAGAGATCCCCAATAGTTCCCTCAGCCTCCCTAGAACCAATCACATATCCTGCCCCACAAAACCAACTCTGACAATTAGCCCCCCATAACCACCCCTTTCCCTCCCAAACAGCCTCTTCAAACCACCTATAACTAGCCCCCATAACACCTTTCTCCTCCAAACCAACTTATCCAAAACATTCATAACCAGCCCTTCAACAACAACCCCATAGCCTGCCCTCACACCCAGCCCCCACCCCTACTTCTACCACACACCCAGCCCCCACAGCCTGCCCGCACACCCAGCCCCACCTCTACCATACACCCAGCCCCCGGCCCTACCTCTACCACACACCCAGCCCCCACAGCCTGCCCACACACCCAGCCCCCACCCCTACCTCCACCACACACCCAGCCCCCACCTCTACCTAACACCCAGCCCTGCCACCAGCGGGAGCAGAGGGGCCATTACCTCCTCCAGAGCGAGGGGAGCGGGTCGCTGCAGGCCCGCGCGCAGCCACTCGACTCTGACCGTCACCCCTCCCCCGCCCCCCTTAGCAAGACCGGAAACGGAGCTGGGAGGGGGCGGGGCGCATAGCGGAAGCTACGCCACTAGCCTCCCCTCCCCCCGCAGAGAGAACGCTGACCGGAAGTAGCTGTCAGGAGGCGGAATCAGCTAGCGGAAAGTGTTCGGGAAAGGAGCGGAACTGGGGCGAGTAGGCGGGCCGTTATCACCAGCAGCCAATGGGCGCGCGGGGCCGGGGCCGGGTTTCCGGTTCCGGTGGTGATAAAGCGGTGCTGGGCGCGGACACTACTGACAGCCGCGGGGAAGAAACTGAGTAGTGCCGGAGCGTGTGTGGGCAGCCGCTGCAGGTACCGGGGTGGTGGGGAGGGGGCGTGGCGGATCTCCGCTGTTGAGGTGGCTGGCCGTGTCCAGCCTTCAGGGTGCTATGGGCTGGGTGTGGCAAGCGGGGCCCGCCGCCCCCGTCGGCACCCCTTTCCCCTCCCCCGACACGAGCTGCAATCAGCCCAGCTCAGTGGGCGCAAACCCCTCGTGTGAACACGCTTAAACCACTTCGGTTTTGGCGTAACGTGATGCCACTCGTGGGGGAGGAGGAAGGCTGGGAATGAGCCTTGGGATTCCCAGGCTCGCCCGGCTCAGCCGTTGTCTGGAGTGCAAAAACTGCGCCAGTTTAACTAGCTCAGATTTAAACTCCCCTGCCTAGGCTGCTGCTAGTGCCTAGTGTACAATCACTTAACCTGGCTGAGTGCTTGTCTCTGTGCCTGGCCGGGAGTCGAGCCAGGTCATGTGAGCGGCTGGGATCTCCCTCAGGTGAGACATCCTTATGCACTCTCCCTATACAGACCTGCAGCCTTGCTCCCAGGCTCTCGTGTTACTTTCTATACACGAACAAAAAGGAGTCTGGTGGCACCTTAAAGACTAACAGATTTATTTGGGCATAAGCTTTCGTGAGTAAAAACCTCACTTCTTCGGATGCATAG